TTGGAACACTGGAAAATCTCACGTCCCCCTAAATGAACAGCATCAGGCCTCAGAGAGGCAAGATACTCCAGTCCACTTTTATTTCAGTCACGTGAGGGATTAAACAAAACCGTGAGAMAAACAAACAAACAAAAAAAAGCAAACCCAGCAGCTTTCCCAAACGAAGAGGGAGGTATTAAAATCTATTCTTTTCTTTTTTACTCCTTTTTGAAAGCCCTCTTCTAATTCTGATAATGCCTCATCTTACTAAAGCTGAAGGGGCTTCTGAAGAATTTGTGTAAGTGCATGATTCCCGTTGTATTTTTGTGTTCCAGCTGCAGCACWGCAAAGCTGTCCCAGGAGGGCACGTGGAGCCCAAGCACAGCCCCTGAGTGTGGCACTGCCACTGCCCTGAGCTGCCACCCGCACCCAGACAGCCCCTGAGCCACAGCCACAGCCAGAGCTGAGAGGGTTAAACTGCAGAGCTTGTCCAGCCTTGCCTGAAGAAGCTGTCAGCAATGGAAAACAAACCAGTGAGGGGGCTTGAAACAGCCTTAAACGCTTCTGAACTGACCAGAAACTCTGCCAGGCAGCTCAGGGATCTCAATACCCACAATGGGCATGGGATGGGAGTGCTGGACCATCCAGTGGTGGGYACCCAGAGAGAGCTGGGAAGAGCTGGGAGTCTTGATCGGATTCATCTGAGTGGGATTTCCACACTAATGGCTCTCTGGCGCCTTCCTAGTGCTCCCCAGAGAAGGAACCACCTACCACTTCCCTGATTCAGCCCAGGACTCATGGAAMTCTCTTATTCTCTGCAGCAAATAGAGCATTTGAGTTAGCAGTCTCTTTTTGTTAACACATGTAAATGTAAAACGACTCCATAAGAATCAATGTAACTTTTCCATTTAAATATGAAATCGACACATAACAAGACAGAGMAGAGGGAGGGAGAGAAGAGGAGGGAGAGAAGAGGGAGGGAGATCCAAACACCAGGGACCTTGAATCCACTCACTGCAAAAGTTAAGGACTGAAATAATTCTCATTTACTCATACAAGAAAGTGAAGCTCTCACTCTCTCACGCTTTCCTTCTCTTTCCCTAACGCTCTCAGATACTTCTATCTTTAGCCAATTATCCTTGCTGTAATTTTCTTCAAATTGTAATTGGATAATCACCCAGACTCAGGGGAAACCTGTGTCAGAGGAATTCCTGGGGATATATTCCCATTTGATGAAACTGAGAGCTGTTCAATTAACAAAGGACTAACTAAAGACGTGATTTTTCACTTSAAGTGAAAATGCTGTTTTACAAGCAACTATTTTTAGGGAACCTTGGAACAAAATACATACACTTGTACACTCATTTTCCTGTCTTTTATTTTCTGCCAAATAAGACTCTGAATTTATGAGCATCACGTTCTGTGCATGTTTCTTATTGAGACTCTGAGGCTGAATGCAGTAAACACACTGGCCAAGACCAAAATTCCCAAAAGCGTAGGCACCACTTGAAGTAATTTCCCCAAATCAGTTCCCTTCCTGCCCTCTCTCTGAGCTCATCTGGCTCACTCACACGCAGAAGCCCCACACGCACCAGTGCTGTGGCTGAGAAATGTGAGATTAGCCCTCTGCCTGGCAAAAACACTGGTGTGGGGGGAAGAATTCCTAAAATCCCTCCCAAAAGGASAAGCTGCTTTGTTCCAGTTCAGCAGTGAATCTCAGCTGTACRTTTTGCTGATGATGGAGCAGGGATGGAAGAGTCCCACCTGCACAGGGCCCCTGAGCCACACACAGGGTGTGCAGAAGGGTCAGCTCGAGCACAAAACACCTGACAGCCAGCTCTGCCTTCCTTCTCTCTTTGCATCTGCCCCACTCTGCCTGKCCAGAGGGGCTCCAGCTTCACCCACCAGGCACAGAGATGCTGAGCTGCTTCAGCCTGGCAGCACAGAGACAGGCTCTGCTGATGGGGGCAATGAAATCCATGAGCTGTGTCAAGAGAAAGGGAGGGGAGGAAGGAGGAGAGCAGGCRATGTCTGAACTGTGAGCTCCACTGTAGAACGTGTTTCAGTTCCCAGATAACGCGGCGCTGTTCACAGATTTCAGCTTATATAGGCTTTTCCCTATTTCTATTTTTATTCCCAAAGCACTCCCCGTTACTGTATAATATAAAAAAAAAAAAAAAAAAAAAAAAAAAAAGAAGAAGAAGCCATGAACGCACTCACATGCTGATAAAATCTTTCTAACTGTCCACCTGGCTAATGCAACCTGTGCACTGAGAGCCAAGCTGGGGCGCCTCCTCTCCCACATCACCAGCCACAAGGGCTTCATGGCAAGTTTTTCCAAGTCAGAGTCTTGCAGAAATGGGAGGACACTTGACAAGAGAGGAGACCCAGGACAGATGGGAAAAGAAATATGAATCATGTGCCTGCCAAAATAACCAACATAGAATCCAAACATAAGTAAGTGAGAAGAAGGAATAAAATCACAACTTTTGGCCTCTTATTCTGAAGGAGTATAATGCTTCCTCCCTAGAGCTGGCATCTGGCTCATGCAGGTCTTGAAGGAATAAAGCTGAGACAAAATCTCTGCCTCATTCTTCCTGTATGCTTATTTCAGAGCTTAAAATCACAGCACTGGAGGAAGCAAGGAGGAATTTCCCACACCTCYAGGTATCCAGGCACCATCCCACCTGCTGCCACACCACCCTCCCTACCCTTAAGTGTTTCTCATCTGTGTTTGCTTTGGGGTGCTGGGTGCTTTGGGGCAATGCTACCTGACCCAGRGGATGAGGAGGCTGGAGCCCAACCAGGGCAGCACAAATCCCCACTGCATGGGCTCATGCTCAAATGCAGAATACCTGCACAGAGCACCGAGTCTGGAAGGAGAGAGCCCAGAGCTGCTCAGACACAAGCTTTCCTTCCACACCCTGGAGAGATCAGAGGACCTTCAGGACTCAGGGGAGGCACGGACAGACATCAGCAAACATCATATCATACGCAGTCACTTTGAACTCAAGCCAGAAGCAGAGCCATGCAAAGCAATCCCAGGGCTGTGTGGATGCAGCCCTCCCCTCTGCCTCGCACAGAGGCACTGACTSAGAAATCTCTCACCCCACAGCCCCTTTCTTCAGCTCCCACCTTCCCAGCTTAACATTTCCTGGTCACTGCAGTACCCTGCAGCCTTCCACCACCCCAAATCCTCACAGTCTTACTCTCCATGTCCCTCATTATCCTACAWCCTTAACTGCTCCTTCAGACAAGGCGTTCCCAGTGACAACAACAACAACACCATGCCTACTTCCAGGGAAGAAGAATATCTGGGTATGGGAATTTAATTCCCTCCACTTTCCCTCTCCTGCTCACCACAGGCAGGCAATGGAGACAAAAAGCAGGACCYTTTCCATCACCCAGCCTGCCCACCCGAGAGCCTGTGGGCTGGAGTGATGCTCTCCATGAAAAGAAGGGATGCCTTTCCTGCAAGGAACACAAGACAGCTAGTAAATCTTCCAGAGCTGCCAAAAGCAACCTGTTATAAATGATCCTCTAAGTTATGAGATATGGACTCTCCACAGTACAGTTAATAAATAACACCTCACAATSCTTCTAGGTATGGAAGCGTATGTTGGGTGACACTTGCCCAAGAGGGGCACAGTTAAAAATGAAGTGTCAGGAAAATAATACTTTTTAATTAGAAAGGAGATAGGGGTTTTTTTTTTGAAATATAAGGAGCTTGCTACTATCTCCCAAATCCAGAAGCAAAAAGCCTTTTCTGGGACAAAAAAACCTGAATGCATGGAACAAAAGCCATCATTTTATATGAAAAAAAAAATTGTATAGCAAACCAGAATTTTATCCAAGCATTATAACCAGCTATTCACAAAGCAGAGGTCAGGATGAAAAGAGAGAGKGTGCGTGTGAGAGGGCATTTCTAATCCAGTTTACTGTGACATCCTAAGGCCCCAAGATCGGGACTCTGTTGTGCCAAGCACTGTACAGATACACTCCAAGAAACCAGCCCAGAGTGAGGAACAGGCACTGCCACTGTAACAGGGAAAAAGCGACATCAGCACAGAAAAGGGACACCTGGGGCAATGAAGCCCTGTTGGTTTCTTTTTTCCCCTCCTTTTTCAGGAAACAATTCCCACCATCCAGYTTCCCTCCAGATACCCCCCAAAACTGCTTCACACAAGGGGGCAGCTGTCCCCAACAAACACAGCAAAGGCCATCTTGCTGCCAGCATCTAATCGCATCCAGTCTATTTTCTTGAACATCTCTTCCACTTTATTTCCCTGCTACAGCTTAAGCCTGACCCCCTCTTCTCCCCACTTCCATTTCAGATATCCGTTTGACAGCACAGAGCACGCATCAGAGGCTCGCCAATTTGCAATACGGATGAAAATTAAAGTTGCATTCCTCAGTGCGCGTAGCGCTCCAGCCAGGAACACCCAGATCCGCACGGCCCACGGGAGCGAACTAAAACAAACCCCTCCGCATGTCGGGGAACGGGGGCACGGCCAGCCCGGCCGCAGGAGCGGCGGAGACAAACCCGCGGTCCCGCAGGTTTGCAGGATTGYTCCATCCCCGCACACCGAGGGATGGCCGAGGGTCCCCCGAGGTCCGCGGGGGCACCGCCACCACCGCGCCCGCCGCCTCCTCCGCCCCCGCTGCGCTCCCGCATCCCCGGCCCCGCACTCTGGCTCTCACCGTGCCCACCACCCGTGCTCGCCGTGGCCGCCGCTCCTCGGGCTCTCCCGAGCGGTTCCTGTTCTCCCTGTCCGGTCTCCCCCCGGTGCCGGCCGAGGAGCGGGGGCCGCTGCCGGCTGTGCGCCGCCGCCGCCCGGCTCCCCCCGCGCTCCCCGCGCCGGGGCCGCAATCCGCCTCCTCCGACACAAACTTTCCCTCGCCGTGCGGGGAAGTTCACGGGCGGGGCGGGGCGGGACAGGCTCCGTGTCCCTTGTCCCTTCCCCCGCCCACGCTGACAGGAACACGGGCGTCCCCCGCGCACCCCCGCCAGCGCGGCTCACCTGAGGACGCGCAGAGAGCACATCTGTGCCCGACGCRCCGCTCTCTCCTCTTCTTCCTCCTCTTCCTCCTCCTCCTCGCCGCCGTCCCCGCCGCTCGCCCCCGGGCTCCGCTCCGCCCCGCCCGCCCCTTTCCCCGCGGCCGCGCTCCGCAGGCGCTCGGGGCGGTCCCGGCGCGCTCCGTGCGGGGCAGCGGGGCCGGGGCCGCGGGGCCGGGGAAGGCGCAGCTCCGTCCGTCCGTGCCCGCGGCTCCGGCCGGGGGAGGCGGGGTGCGAGGCGGGGTGTGCGGGGCCACGGCTCCCTCTCCTGGCCGGAGCCGTCCTGCCGGCGGCAGCTGCCGGGGGCGAGAGGCGCCCGGAGCCCTTGGAGCCGGTCTGGAGCCCCTGGAGCCGGCCCGGAGCCCTCGGAGCCGGTCCGGAGCCCTTGGAGCCGGTCCGGAGCCCCTGGAGCCGGTCCGGAGCCCTTGGAGCCGGTCCGGAGCCCCTGGAGCCGGTTCGGAGCCCCTGGAGCCGGTTCGGAGCCCCTGGACCCCGCTCGCTGTCTCTTTCTGTGTGGAGCGGGCTGGCACACACATCTCTGCCGCTGCCGCAGCCCCTGCAGGCCACCTCTGCGGGCCACCTGCCCCCAGGAAAGTTGTCCCCTCTGCTGTGCTGGGATTCTTTCCCCGTAATTTCCTCCCAGGGCTCCCCGGGCATTCTGATGCCACCTGACGAGGCTGAAATTGTTGATGGGTGAGGAGTGGGYACCTGAAACAGACTGCAAGGGCAGTGTCAGTGAGTTTGAGGAGTGGAATAAAGATTTGCAGAGATTTGGGCTAGCATCTGCTCCTGGAGAATGTGGCCAGCGATTATCAGTGCAGCCCCTAGTGCAATTGTGCCCTTGCCCCAGTTCGTGAGGAAAGCTCATCATCCTCTCAGACTGGCCTAGAGTCTCTTCCATCCTGGCAGTGAGTAACCTGCACTTTTTGGTACTTTTATCAAATTTTGGCTGGCTGACCGTGAAATGGCTGGACACAAAGCCTGTAGCATGAAGGAAACTCCTGTCTGCTCAAAGTGCTGCAGAGCTTCTTAGCRCTATTGGCTACAACACCTGGACTGAGTTCAATATCTCCGCTGTCATCCTCAGAAGGTGATTCCAGGATATCTAGGAGACCAAATTTMACCCCACCCCTCTTCTGTAACAAACCTGTCTTGGGGAGCAGGGTCTGGGCAAGGCATAACCGTTGATAGTACTCGTCTGCCCATCCCTGCACCAGTGCACACGTGGCTGCTGTGAAAGKGGGTCCCTGCCCTCAGCAGCCCCTCCAGCTCACCAAGGTGGGCACACCTAAAGCTTCCCCTCACCCTGAGGAAGAGGAGCTGCAGCCTGGCTGTGCCACTGGCCGTGAAGGAGCTCCAGCAGGAAAAGCTCTTCCTCCTGTACCTCTCTCTCCTTCCCTTCCCAGGGTTCTGGCACAGCAAAATTAGGCAGAAAGTTTCTTATCTCAGCAGCTTTTGTGTCCTGGTGGTGAATGCCCTTGAAAATMTGCCTACTTGGCTTGTGCTTAGAATCAGCTCTACTCAAGCCATCTCTAACCCAATTCCATCCAAATATTAAAGTAACTTGTTAGGGCARAGCTCTGTATAGTCTAATTTACCCCACTCTGAGGGCAGATTAATGCATATTTTGCTCCTGCACTGCTCCAGGACCCAATCTTGTYTGGAGCTACTTTAGGTATCTGTATAACTTGGCTGCATTACTGAAAATAGACAAAACTGGAATAGCAAGGCACATTWTATGAGCTGTATTTTCCAACATTCTTACTGAGAAATATGTGCTTAAAACCGTCTGCTGAAATACGGCAATCCACTTTTCTCACAGAAAATGAAATAACAAAAGGGTTGCATATTTTAGTCATGATACTTAATGCAGCTGTGGGAGCAGCTCAGCTGCTCTGGTGGTTTTTACAAGAATTTAATAATAATAATAATAATAATAATAATAATTGCTTGTTCTCTGTAATATCTGCCACCTATAGATACAGATCTGGGACAGGACACGTCATTATTCTTGTTTGGGAGGATCCAGGCACTGTTGCAATACTGGTAATGCAGGTTAACAGTCACTGACACACACCCCAGGACATCCATACTGTTCCAAACTCCAAGCCTGCCAGTGCAAATTAGGGTCTTTAGGCCAGGATCATTAATTTTCTCTGATTTTGATGAAAAGCCAGAATTCAACTTTAGGCTTCAGTTGAAAGGCTCATAAAATAAGATTCAAGACCAAATTTCCAGTGATTGGTTAAAAGCTACAGCTGATAGCAAAGCCTCAAACCCACCTGCCTGTTGTGYTTTCATGGGAAAGGTTTCAAATGGTTTTGTTTATGGATTAAAAGAATCAGCAWTTCCCTTCTGTAAAATAAGGGTAATATTGCTCACTTGGGCACAGTGCTGTCATAAGGATATTTTTGTATTGCTATTTTTTCTCCCATCCTCTCTCCACACTTGCACATGCTATTTCTGTGCAGGTTAAAATGCAACACWGCTACACCCTAGAGTGAATTGTACTATGTTCTGAAGAGCAATTCAGTAAATAGAAAACATTTTTAAGCTCAAAAAGGCAGCATTGTGCCACAATTTTTGGACARGGAGCAAAGAGTAGCATTACTAAGTGAAACCACGGGGGGGACTTAAATAGTGGAGGAATGTGTTGGTGTTGAGCCAGGACACTGGAGCTTCTGGCATTGCAACTGCTGTGAAAATATTCCACAGACCTCCAGTAACAAGTGGCCAAAGGCTTTGTTTTGCTGCTGTTCTGGTCCCATTAGGCAGTTWAAAGGTAAAAGCACAGGAGGATCCTGGATCCCAGAGCCCAGTTCTCTGCTGTGCCAGGAATAACGTTGTTTATGGTCCTTTTCATGAAAGGACCATGTTCTGACCTAAAATAATTTCGTGTTTTCATCTGTTATTCCACTGTGAGATTCTCCCAGGTTGTTCCATGTCCCTGCTGGTCAGGAACCTTTTTCCACATGTTGTGGCATCAACCCTGGCTCTCATTTCTGTAGCTGTTTTGCTCACTGCTCCTTACTCAGGTGTTTTTATGGAGATGGTTCTTGTCTCCCTTTCTCACTGAGCTACACAGGACTGGCTTTTCAATCTTCTTTCCTAAATGACTCTCAGTTCACCTCAAGACCTCTTCCCTCCATCTGCCRTGGTTTCAATTAATCTTAAAGTTCATAGGGATGACCAAAAGTAGTTAGAGTTTTAAATGGGAGCAGGTCTTACTGATGCTTCATGCAATGACATTAAAGTCCCCATTTCTCACTGAAATATCTTACCTGGTAATCCCAAGATTGCACTTATCTTTCTGCAAATAAGATGTAGTGGTGACCTCATATTTCTCCTCCATTTTTGCTTGCAATACTAAGTTCCCAGCCTCGATCAGGAACTTGTTACTACTCCCTTGTCAGTTCTCAATTCCCTTGTTTTTATCCCAACTCTCAGCCKGCAAATCAGAGTTTTCTGATTTGTTTGCTCTTAGCCAGCATTTCTGACACTGGGAAATCAAGGTAGTTTCRTAACCTCTAAAATACATGTTCTGGCTTGTTACTCACACCCACCTAACCCATTTTTCCTCCTTCCTAGTTCAGGAATAAGCCCTAGACTACATATAATTATAGTCTGTGTAGTTATAAATGAACGTGCCTTCTGTGTTTGACACCTACCTTTTAACTGGCATTGAGAGGAGCACGCCTGATAACCCAAGATACAGGACACAGAGAAAACGAGAGAATGACAGACATTTCTGACATAGCAGCACATGGACCTCCCATCTGCTTCTGTCAAGGGAGCTGATGTTACCCACACACGGGGCTGAACATTTTCATTTTCCAGAGAGGAGCCTGTGCCTGGCTGAGCAGGCAGGCATGGCTTCCACACAGGTGTGAGCTGTTCCTTCACCAAAATGTGTGAGGAGTCTCAATTGTGTGTGTCAGGTGAGCTTGCCTGACACAGATTGTGTATTCCCTGCTGTATTGACCATGTCCAAAGCAGATCTCAAATCTCTCTGCCCAGTGAGGCAYGTTGTGTGAACCTCGATAAAAACCCCACACAGTGAGGAGGGATTGGAGGCACAGCTTTGTTATGAGTTCATCTGTTTATTCCTGAGGATGCAGCAAAYAGCTTTTGTCCGTGTTAATGTGCTAAATATCGTTAGTGTCTCTTCCCCTGCGTTACCACGGTGGTAGGACTGCTAATGCAAATGGTTCCTAAATGGAAACTTGACCTTACATGACTTGCATCCAAGTCCATTTAAATCTCTGTCACACATGTTTTGATACAGCCTAAGGCCGGAGATATTTCCAGTCCTATGAGTCTGTGCTTCATACAAAACTARAGCTATTCCAAATCCATGATGGAGAGGAGTATCTTTTTATCCTGCTAAAGGTTTTGGCTTTTGGCAGGTGTCTGACCCACAAGTACACACACGTCGGACACCGTTCGTGTTTAGGATGCCTGAACATCCTGCACAATGTACTCAAACACACCACAGYTGTATAAATTGCCTGATCAGGGAAGTTGCAGGACATTTAAACGGTTGGCATTTCAGTTGAGCAAGACCAGCATCTGTCTCAGGCAGTGTTTGAAGAAAGCCTCTAGCCTGGCCATTAATTAGGCTGCAGTTTACCTCTCCTGCTCAGTGATGCCAGTGAGAAGTGGCAGGCTGTCAGCAGATTAATAAAGCTAGAAAGGCTGAATGCAGCCTTGGTCATCGAGACAATTCCCCACTGATGGGTATTTCTACAGGGAGCRTTTTCTGGAGATTATTTCACACTCCTGGCCTCTCTGGCTGATGGTTTGCTGACACCATTGCAGAAGGGAAAAGGCTCTGAATTAACACACTGTATTTCCTGGGTAAATGGARCCAATTAAAAGATCTTATGAAAGCAAGAAAAGGCTTAATGCAGTGTATTTTTATCCTACCTATTTGTAAGAGCTCCTCCTGTCTTCATGTAAGTTTATGCAGATGTTTTGATGCTTTAATAATTTTTCAACAGTCTTTTTTTTCTGAACAAAACCCAGCTTCTCTGGATAGCTGTCTGATGATGAACAGCAATGGTTATGAAAAAAAGGCATCAAGTATAATAAATGAAAAAATTCCACTAGCATATTCCAAAATTTTACTATTATAGTCAATAAAAGTTTATTTTCCCCTAATGATA